ACTGCTGCCTTCCCCTCTGCTTTCCACCGGGCTAAAGAATCTGCAGAGTTCAGATACAGTTTAATTTTGTATCTCCCATAAACTATAAAGTACATAAAGAAACAGTTAATATGTTGCAGAAGTGACATAATAAAAAGTGAAAAGCTTTTAAAAGGCATTTGCAACTAATTGAATTGTGAAGACAATCTTAAGAGAGAGATGTGAAAAGATAAAGAGAGAATGACAAACAGCAGACACGTTTCTGGTGGAAGTAGCTTTCATGTGAGTAGAGTTTAAAGATGGACAACTGAAAAACAGCTAACTAGATTAAAGCAGCCACAAAAATAGATAAGGGACATTTTTAATTGCTCATTGAGAGTTTTCATTTTACATTTAAGTAAGATAGCGAGTGCTGGCTCAATGAAAGGGAGAGCTGAAAAAAATAAAGAAGAACCATATGAAAACATGTAAACCCCCAAAGATGAACTTTCAGTAATTGCAATGTAATAACAATAGTATCAATGTTTTTAAAAGTAGTATTGCTTTTGCTCGAGGAAACAAAACAGAACATATTTTAAAAACATTTCATACCCCAGACATGCTCCCTTGGCTTAGATGCTATGAGCAATTTAACATTAAATATATAATACCTTATGTACAAACAGTACCGGCCTATTATAGATAACTGTCAGACCACTAATTAAGACAGGTTAATGATTTAAGAGCTTTTGGGAAAACAAGATGCACGCATTGCCTTCCCTCTCCTCCTACACAGTAGCCAGAGTTCAGGGCGACAAACCTTGCAGTAAACCGCTGAATGAGCTCTCGCTGATGTCACCCGGCAGTCCGACCTCAGCCAGGTTCACTGTCACTCCACCGAATCGGTCCACTTTCCCCGTTAAAGCGCTGACCCCGTGGACTTGCTGAAGCTGTGAACAAGTTAAAGTGCAGGAAAAGGCACGGGTAGCTATGCGTACGGGAAGAGACATGTTATTACAAAAGCGGCCTCTCGCCAACGGCAAAAGTCTGGCAACAAAGGTACAGCCAGCCATATTACAGTAACACGATAAGTAACCGAATAAAAGCAGAATATATTCAGCTGACAGCCGGTAAATGAGCTGTCCAGTACAGTTGCGTAAATGTCCGTGCAGGAAATTGCATAAATACCGTAATGAACCACTAAAACAGCCCTGACACGTGAACCAAACTCCTTTCGCATTTCTTTTAGATTACTTTAGCTTGCAACGCATGGGTATTGTGTTAAAATTGGCTAATGAATCTGACAATTAACCCATGTAATTCTGTAAGTGATCGGCTTTTTTGGCCACAAACTATTGTTAACTATTGTTAGCTCTTGTTTTGCATTCTCTAACGTGCCATCTGCTGTTCATTACCTATCAAAAAATCCGGAGCTTGTTGGCTGTTTAGTAGAGCTATGCCGAATTTAAGAATGCATCCAAGCATTAAGAGCAATAATTTTATTTCTTTCATTTTGTGATTCTTCTAGCTTGTAAAATCAAATACGTAAAAGTAAAGAATCTTTCAGCGAAATTTCGCATTGCTTTCTCTCGACCTCTACAATCTTATAGAAACGTTTTCTACGAGAGGTTAATATTTTTCAGGTATTATTTTTATTTTTGTAATATGTTATATACATATATTTTAAATACCACACACAAGTGTTTTAGAATTAAACAAATACAAAAATGCCGCTGCCACCTGCCAGGAAGCGCTTGTATATATGAGGATTTACGGTAAATGAAGGCGGGACTAAACGCTAACCAGGAAGTTTATGACACCGCTTGATGTTTACACATGTTTCTGCTTTCACGTGGAGAAGCTTCTTGCAATTACCATGTCTTCAAAGAAAAATAAAAGCAAAACAAAAAAAGCGAGTGAAGGAAATAGCTCCTTCTTAGTGAAAGAGGGCCTAAATGACTCTTCAAGCCTGCAAACATCTCGCACCGACGGAGGAAGCTGCAAAAGTTTGAACTGCAACTCTTTCACTGTCATCGACTTCATTGAAAAAGGTAAGAAGACGAGACATGAGTCTAAACATTTGACAGGCTGTATTATATACATCAGGTATAACCCCCGTGCAAACGAAGCTACCTGTACTATGAAGATGGAAGTCCCAGCATGGCGCTTGCTGCACTCACAGGACCAGTACTCACTGATGCTGCTGGTCCATTTGTTTTTCTCCAGAGTCGTTTTCTGAGCTTTGTGCCTTTATTCTTTTCATTTGTTTGCAGCATTTGTTTGTGAACTTGTTTGCATTGTTTAGCTTTGCATTTGTGGCTCTTTTTTTCTCTCTTTTTCTTTATATTCACTGGTCATCCATTTCCCAACACCCTCCAGAATAGTCCAGCTGCTTTAACAAATCTAATAAAAACATAGTTCTTACTTAACCTCTTATCCCAATTCCTGCATTCTTCTAATCACTTAGCTTGTTTCGTCTCTTCCTTCTTTCTGCGTGAGGTAAGAGTGTGCTGAAATTTCTCTGCTGCTGGGAAGTTTATTCCAGTCAGCGGGAAAGGAGGCTCCAGCAAATCGCTGAACCTCGAATTCAGGAAGAGCAATGCCTTGACCATCACTCTGTGTGCACTTTCTAGACTTAGAGAAGGCTTATGTACATTAGGTGCCTAGAGGCACCTAATGTACATAAGCCCATCCTCCTACATACTGCAGGAGGATGGGGTCCACTACCTTCTGTTATGGACAGTTGGGTCCTTCTGTAACCAAAATGAGAGGCGTGTCCTTATCCTTGACACAAACTCAAGCACATTTTCAGTGGGTGTGACTCTGCCTGGTTTGCCACGTGTCTCCAATCCTGTTTTCATGGACAGGAATTTAAGGCATGGCTAGGCTGAGGAGGGCATCCACTTTGGGAAACTCAGAACAGCACTTCTATTTTTAGCGGATGATGTGGTTCTGTTGGTTCTTTGGGGCATGACCTCCAGTATGCACTGTTTCTCTGAACGTTTCTCCCACTGAAAACGCTACGCCCAGATAAACAGAGTCAACTTTTTGGGGTATAGCTGCTAAAACCTTTTCACAGAAACCCTGGTAGCTTGGAACTTGTTCTTAAGTCTAACACACTATAATTATTACTGGGCTCTTTCTATTTTGAAGATTTGATAAAGCTTATAATGAGCGTTGTATTTGATGACCCATAACAATCCTATAGTTATACTGCTATAGACTCAGTCTACTGTAGGACAGATGCACTGAAAACTCCTCCACTCCCATCTATCTCTCACTTTTTTCCCCTTTATGTATTTTTATGGCACTGTTTTATGCCATTTACTTTTATTTTTGTTTGTTGACTGTGCCTATAATCTTCTGTTTTGTCATGTCTTTCTTCTCATCTCCCAATCGATCATGGCAGATGGTTGCCTCCCTCAGAGTTTATATTATAATACAGAGCACCTCGTGCTTTGTGCTGCTAACACATTTTTATTCTCTAATCAACGTGTCAGGTGGGCTTGTAGGCTTATATCAGTTCAACTCCTCATATCTGTGTTACATAACAAAATACTTTTGCCAGCATTGATTACGTAGAGAAACAAAACTTTACACATCTGCTTTAATCCCTGCAGTCATTGCACTGCTAAATGCAGGTAGCACCAGACAGTGCACTTTATGCATGCATTGTGCTTTTTGAGTGAGTGGGTGGGTTTACAGATGTAGGAGAAACTTGCCATGATCTTATCTCTTTTTTTTTTTTAGTTCTCTGTTTCTCATTTATTTGTTGACATGTTTTTGAATCTGAACTAAAACACTCTAACATCTGGTTTTCACTCTAAATCTTTCATCTGCACAAAAAATTAAGCCATGAAAAAAACCTTAAGCTTGGCTATTAGCGAGGAGAAACAACCTGGAAAGTACAAATCTGTCTTTTAGAGCTGAAAGTCGTCATGAAATTATGAAAACACTGTTACCAAAAATCCCTACCAGTAACAAACTAGTGCATCGTCAAATCAGGTAAACAGTGTTTCAGGTCAAACCCACTTTAATACAGTGTCAGCACCACCCAGC